ATGATCTCTTAGGAATCTTTTTTTTTTTTTATATTTGGAAGGTGGGCCTTCCGTGAATATCCTCAATCTAAATATGTAAAAGAAATAATTAAAAAAAAAATTATACATATTAATAAATTTTTTTTTAGAAAGTAAAATAAAATATTTATGCCATAACTATTGAGCAATTCTGCTTCCTACGTTTAAAAACCAAGATATGATGAGCCACATATGAAATTAGATCAAAGACTACTCAAATAATAACAAGATATTTTAACATTCTGAACAAATTCTGTGCCTGTATACAGAAAAATACACAAACAAAACCTGTGATTGGTGTGGTACAATAAAAGTGAACTTGGAAGGATGCAAAGTCTTTTGATGTGACAGGTGCAGATTGATATTGGAAAGGAATTGTATAGAACAAGAAACATCTTGCTCAAGCTGTTGAGTCAGATAACCTGATTGTATAAAGATGCATTTGATAACTTTCAAATGCATTTTTTCTTATAGATTACCGTTTAGAATTTAATGCAAAAATCAAATTCGTTGTCAGAGTTGGTAAAATTATTTTCAGAATTTCAATGCCCAGGTCATTTATACACAATGAATAGTTTTATTGATATACTGATAATTAAACGTTCGATTAATTAAAAATTTATATTACGATTATTTTAAATAGCGAATATCGACCGAGATCTATTGTCAAATTCCAATTCATATTAACATTCTAAATATTTTTACTTGTTTCTTCAACTGATTTCACAACAAAATTTAAATAATATTGTTGGTCGATCCCTAGGTACCCGTCACTAACGAGGAATACTGTGTATTTGTAATTACCTTCCTTTCCAGGGGCAACCAATTTAAGCGAGGTTTTGATTTTTTTTGTTAATTCGCCCGAGGGCCCATTACGCATGTTAATTCTTTTTAAATCGATTATCTCATCAGTGTGAGTTTCTCCCAACATAATCCACCACGATTCATATTGAGACTTCGGGAAGTGTGGCGAATAAATTCGTCCATCATGATTCGACTTCAAATTTTTTCTATCTAAAGATATTGTAATGGAATATTCCTCTTTTGGAATTAACGAATCGTTGGAGGTGTTGAGGTGACAAGTGACATCTATCGATGGAATTCTCAAAATTACTTCGCGGATCTACATTCAAACATGATCAAACCATTACGACATAATGTCAATTACGCGTGTTCTTCCCCAGATGATCACCTAAAGAATCCTTACCTGTCGAGCATCAGACTCGGAGAGACTCTCAACATTTTCAAAAATCTTAACTAGTTCCTCCTCGGGCAGATCTAACAATTCACCGAGGCATGCGACTGTCCGACCCTAATCGTATATTTTTGAGCCTGTTAACAACTATGCCAAAGATATATCATGCTTGAAGAATAACTTTAAAAATATGCCGTACATTGTTAAGTGATATTGAGTTGACCATAGAACTGTTGATTCCAGGAAGAGTCAGCAATGAGGAATCATTGGGCCACCGCGCTTGTTTAATGCATTGAAGCAAAGAAAATATGTTCAAGCAATTTGTCAGAAGTTTTCGCTCGCAAGAGAAATCGATCATGGCCTTAAATACAAATGATTGAATGGTGCAGCAAATATTTATTTTTCACATGTGTTACTAAAATGAGGCAGGCAAATTAACCTCATGTTTTCTTACCTGCAGAATACGAATTGCTTGATCCAATACTGACAAGGTATCAGTTACATAATCAGCAATGGGCAATTTTGCGCGTGCGATATGAGCTTGAAGCAATAAAAAGGCTTTAGCGTGTGGACTGTCATACGAATGGGAGGATTGAATAGGCCATTGAAGATCATTTTCTAGATCACTATTTAGTAAATCTTCGTTGTGGCGTACTGGAATTTCAGAATACTCTTCCGAATCGCAAAGCATGCCCAAAAGATCCCGAACAGAAGCATTGGTTTGCATGCGATCGCAAAAAAGTCGAATGGTCTTATGTGAAAGGTAGTAGTTGGAAGCGATATTGCCAAAGGAGGTTGACTTCAGATTGTCATCATCGTCCATATCGATACACCGTGATTTACAAAGTTCTTCGATAGATTCATTGATCAACTTGGAGAAATAGTTTTTCATGGCTTTATTTGAGTTGTCTTCCAGATTATAATAAAATGGATTTTTCTGCAGTCTTCGATAGAGGTAGGTGCAAGTAAGATATTCCATCGCATCTTGCTTTGATTTTATGGTCTCTGAGGCGATCTCGGCGTTCAAGTGATCTTCCAATTGCTTATGTAAACTGGATTCCACCGGGAATGGTTCATACAAGAATTTCTTATAGAAATTTTTCTTTGAGTTTTGGACAAAGATGCATGCAACACCGCTGTTATCAAACTGAGGCCGACCTGATATTTTATTTTTTTATAAAAAAAACCAACGATAATTCAAATGTGTGTCATTAGAAAATATGCATATGGTAAGGTGCATACCTGCTCTTCCCATCATTTGAAGCACATCGGTTATAGGAAAATCGACGTATCCTCTGGATTTGGCGTCATAAAACTCTGTCCCCTTGATCACAACAAGATGAGCTGGTAGATTAACTCCCCATGCTAAAGTGCTGGTTGCAACGAGAACCTGTATCTTTTGGTGTAGGAAGAGTTCCTCCACTATCTTTCTATCTCCCTCAGTCAATCCTGCATGATGTAAACCAATTCCAAAAGTGAGTGACATCTTCATGTTGTTGTCGTTTATTTGTGTGAGGAGCATTTGTAATTCCTCTTCGGGCATCCTCAAAAAATGATATGGATTGTCATTCATGCAACAATAAGTGATCAGGTCTTGCGCAGTCAATCGCGTCTGGCGACGTGATGAGACAAATACAATTACGGGTTTCGATGGTGAATGTCTCATGATTGCTGCGAAGGTGGGCTTATTCATGGTTGCCATGCGAGGACAGTAGTGTCTTCCAGAGAATCCATCAATATGAATCTCAAGAGGAACAGGACGAACAGTATGGCGGAAATTAAAAAGACCATCCCCGTCGATGTTCAGCCACTCAGCTAAATCTTGTGCATTTGCAAGTGCTGTCGATAGTCCTACGATGCGAATCTTTTTATCTTTCTGCGATCCTATATAGTTCATTCGTGAAACGATGACCTCTAAAGTTGGACCACGGTCTCCACCGAGCAAATGGATTTCATCGATTATGACGAGGGAAACAAGTTGAACGTAACGTCTGTGCTGCCAACTACGACTAATTCCATCCCATTTTTCAGGAGTGGTAATGATTATATCGGCATTTTCGATTGATCTCAAGTCCGGAGTAACATCGCCGGTTAATTCCACAAGTTTTCTTTGCATGGGTTCGGTCAACCTCGCCTTCCAGTCGTCAACACGTTCCCTCACAAGCGCTTTTAATGGAGCTATATATACAACTTTAGATTGAGGATATTCACGGAAGGCCCACCTTCCAAATATATATAAAAAAAAAAAAAGATTCCTAAGAGATCATAATACCGGCAATCAAGTTAATTGTCCATTTGA